GCCACCATGCCCAGCTAATTTTTGTATTTTTAGTAGAGACAGGGTTTCACCATCTTTTCCAGGATGGTCTCGATCTCTTGACCTCATGATCCACCCGCCTCAGCCTTCCAAAGTGCTGGGATTATAGGCGTGAGCCACCATGCCCAATCATCCTTTTTTTTTTTTTTTTTTTTTTAAGGAGGAGTCTCGCTCTGTCACCCAGGCTGGAGTGCAGTGGTGCAATGTCAGTTTACCATTAACGTCTGCCGCCTGTGAAAACCCTAGATTTCATACCCAATCTGATCTATAAAAAGTCAGGGGCATATGGCCAGGTGCAGTAGCTCACATCTATAATCCCAGCACTTTGGGAGGCGAAGACAGGAGAGTTGCTTGAGGCCAGGAGTTCGATACCAGCCTGGACAACACAGCAAGATCTCATCTCTACTGATGGAAAAAAAAAAAAAAAAAAAAAAAGATGGGCATATGTCACAATTGTATTTCTACTAATGAATTTAGAAATACATCTAGAATTACAATTCTACCTTAGAAAACATATCAACAATCTTAAGTGAAAATGTTGTAAATCAAACATAGCTAGTATCATACAGTTTCAATAACACAGTTTCTATGGCAAACAGATTTTTAATAACCTTTACCTGTGTACTAAACTTTATCAGCACCATATATTGGTTGGGAGTAGAGTCTCTGATGATTTTCATTTGTTCAATTACTTCGTTAAATGGGGCGACAAACTTCATAAGGTCATGACTAGTCATTGCAGCAGGGACTGTGAGAATACACAGCATGGCACTGCGCCTCACGTCTTCTTTTAAGGAGGTCATCTTACTAATAAAACAATAGAATGACTTGAGTAGATGAGGTATGGTTCATTCAAACAACACTAATCAGACAACTTTTATGTCCAAGAAAATAGGAAAAAATAAAAATTGTAATATGTCACAAATGAACTGTTCTACATTATACCCACTGAAATTTTTAATCTTCAGTTCAAGGTTTGTTATGGTTCAAATCTGCATTAGGCAAATTTGCAGTGTTTTACTCTCATCAATGTTTGAATAATACTCTGTCACTGGGTAAGTTAAAAGCACAACTCTGGCTATGGATCTCTCTCAAAGGGCCTAGAAAAAGAGCTGTAAATATAAGAGAGAATGCTAAACCATGAGGATGTAACTGAAAATTTCAGAAAGTGTTCCTAGGCTGGGGTGGCTGGAATAGTAGAATAGAGAGAGGAAAGAAAAACCTCCAACAATGTAATTTGTGTTTTGTAATGCTGTGAACTCACTTGACAGTTGTAATCCAAAATGGCTACCTGGGCTGGGTGCAGTGGCTCACAACTGTAATCCCAGCCCTTTGGGAGGCTGAGGTGGGCTGATCACCTGAAGTCAGAAGTTCAAGACCAGCCTGGCCAACATGGTGAAATCCCGTCTCTACCCCCTCCAACCATAATAAAAAATTAGCTGCGTGTGGTGGCATGCACCCATGGTCCCAGCTACTCTCAGGAGAGAGAATTGCTTGAACCTGGGAGGGGAGGTTGCAGTGAGTCGGGATCGCACCACTGCACTCCGGTCTGAGTGCTGGAGTGAGACACTGTCTCAAACAAAACAAAACACAAAATGGCTACCTGAACAGTCACTGTTTTCCGAATAGGGATGTGGCAAACAAGTTAGCACAAGAAAAGCCTTAAGGTATCAGCTATCAATTATCCAAGGAGGTAATGGCCAGGCTTGTGGATTATCTAGCCAAATGCTTCCTTTCCTTGGGGCTCCAGCAAAACTTTTGACTGAACCACAGAAAATGGTAAAAAGAGGTGATAAAATTGAAATGAGTTAACTGACTTCTTAGCAGCCTCTTCAGTAAAGATTTGGTGGGGACATGAGACTACAATGACTCTGTGGATCATTTTCTTTGTCCTTTCAATTCCCCAATCACCTTCCATGCCCATCAGCTAAGAAAACATTTTCCAACGTATTTTCTGGCATTTCTCTTATAAGGAAAAGCTTTGACCCAATCCACAAGATTAATCAAATGTAAAACATCTGAGAATTTTCTAACACACAATACACAAAAGTGTTATTTTAAAGCTTAAAATAATACCCACTTCCCTCCAAAGCAAGAGACTACCCTATAGCAAAGAACAAAAAACAAGAAATTAGGACAAATCCAAAAGAAAAAAGGGTTTTCTTACTTTGTCTTATATAGGTGCATAATACCATGAACTATTTCAACTGATGGATTTCCACTGAAGAATGAAATCTGGTCTGGAAGCTGTTTGGATGGAGAATCGGGGGCAGCATTTAGGCATTCCTTACTGTGATCTTTACTTCTTTGGGCAGTGGGGGATGCTTCTGAAGACTTCCTTTCTTCCACTGTAGTTTTTAGTTCATCTTTCACCAATTAAAAAATAGCAGATTATAAATGGATAGGACATATGCTGAAGGGCTCGAACTAGATTAAAATTTCAAGTCAGAGGAATAAACTTTGATAGAGTAAATATATTGCGTTGGAACCGAATCGGAAGGAGGGGGGAAAAAAAGAGTAATTACAATGTAATGCATTAAGAGTTATATTTGTAGAACAGCTGAGTTTATGAGAGGATCATACATTAAAGCTCTCTTTGCCCCATAAAAATCTCATTAACATCATGAGAAACTCAAGGATGGCTATTACATTTGGCAATACCATAATGCAAGCGGGTGCTTCCGTTATGAAATCCTAACTGGGAAAAACATTCAAGACTACTAAGTTTGAAATCCAAACCTACCAGTTCTGACCACTTCCATGTTGGAGATGTAGTACTATCTACACATCCACTTCCACAGATGAAATGAGCTGGCTGAGCAGGGGAAGGCACAACATGTTTATCTGGACACATTCATAATCTGCCACTGAACTAGGTGGTAAGTTCTCCCTGGTGGCTGGGTGTGGTGGCTCACACCTGTAATTCCAGCACTTTGGGAGGCCAAGAAGGGTGGATCACTTGAGGCCAGGAGTTCGAGACCAGCCTGGCCAACATGGAGAAACCCTGTCTCCACTAAAAATACAAAAATTAGCCAGGTGAGGTAGAGGGCGTCTGTAATCCCAGCTACTCAGGAGGCTGAGGCAGGAAGATTGCTTGAGTCTAGGAGGTGGAGAATGCGGTGAAACAACATTGTACCACCGCACTCTAGCCTGGGCAACAGAGACCCAGTCTCCACTAAAATGTGGCTTAACGATGTCATAAAAAGCACACAGGCAGTGAAAAACTATGCTAGATGTTAAAATCGTAGGCTTATCAAACACCATGTATAAAATAGGAAACCAGGGTTCACGTTACAAAAGACAGTCCCGGGTTTTAGAAAGCATACCTGGGATGGACTTCATTGTCTCAATGATCACATCTGTCATTTCTCGACGGCCGAGATGCTGATGGATAATTGCTGCTTTCTCTCCTGGTGACTTCCCTTCTAAACAGGCTACAGCTGAAGCTAGTGTTGTCTTTTTGATCTCCTCATCAGACATTTCCCCCGCTAAAGAACACATGAATGATTAATACTAGGTAATAAAACAAGTTCCTCTTTATTCTCTATTCATCCATTATTAGGTTTCCCTTTTCTTTCTACTGCCTTCCACCAAGATGATAAGAAGCCTTTGTAGTATCCATCTCACTCACCTCTGGGACCACTGTGGAAACAGTCAATAAGTAGCCAGGAAAATATACTCAGAAATGCAGGGCTGTTCTACTGAAATGCACTTTATTTTTATTTTTATTTTATTTTATTTTTTTTTTTTTTTTGAGACGGAGTTTCACTCATGTTACCCAGGCTGGAGTGCAATGGCGTGATCTCGGCTCACCGCAACCTGCGCCGCCTGGGTTCAGGCAATTCTCCTGCCTCAGCCTCCTGAGTAGCTGGGATTACAGGCACGCACCACCATGCCCAGCTAATTTTTTGTATTTTTAGTAGAGACGGGGTTTCACCATGTTGACCAGGATGGTCTCGATCTCTTGACCTTGTGATCCACCCGCCTTGGCCTCCCAAAGTGCTGGGATTACAGGCTTGAGCCACCGCGCCCGGCCTTTTTTATTTTTTGAGACAGTCTCACTCTGTCATCCAGGCTGGAGTGCAGTGGTGTGATCTTGGCTCACTGCAACCTCCTCCTCCTGGGTTCAAGTGATTTTCCTGCCTCAGCCTCCTGAGTAGCTGGGACTACAGGCATGCATACCACGTCTGGCTAATTTTTGTATTTTTAGTAGAGATGGGGCTTCACCATGTTGGCCAGGCTGGTCTTGAACTCCTGGCCTCAAGTGATCCACCTGCCTCAGCCTCGCATAGTGCTGGGATTAAAGATGTGAGCCACTGTGCCAGGCCCAAAATCCTGGACTTTAAAGCAAATTTACAAAAGAGAGTCCCTAATATATGCTTTGTCAGGGCAGGGACTATGCCTGTTTTGCCTACCACTGTATTCCTACCACTTACACCACAATGCCCAGCACATAGAGAAGGCTCTCTTAAATATCTGATGAATAAATGACTACATGACTGACCCATGCAGATGTCTGTATGTGGCTAATATCAATTTAGCTGACTTTCAGAACTCAGAAGCCACTTAAGCCTTTGGAAAGATGCTCATAAGCTATTAAATCATATTCAATCTTTAATTTGCAGCTCTAAAGGTCACACACCCAGGAAGTTTCCAATGACACCATCCCTATCTGCCCCTGTCCCTCTCTCCAAACCAGACACATTTTCTTGTAATAGCTTTCCAAACTGTTTCTTCTTTCCTTCATAGCACTTACCACAGTTGTAATTCTACACTTACTCTGCACTTAATTCATCTGTTTCCTTCAAGAAACTGCTGGTGCCATTAAAGCAGAGATCCTATCTGATTCAGCACATAAGGAAAGCTCCAGCACATGTGAGTATGAAATAAGTTATTTTATTTTTATTTTTTTGGAGATGGAGTTTCACTCTTGTCGCCCAGGCTGGAGTGCAATGGCAGGATCTCAGTTCACCACAACCTCTGCCTCCCAGGTTCAAGCAATTCTCCTGCCTCAGCACCCGGAATAGCTGGGATTACAGACATGCACCACCACGTCCGGCTAATTCTGTACTTTTAGTAGAGACGGGGTTTCTCCACATTGGTCAAGCTGGTCTTGAACTCCCGAACTCAAGTGATCCGCCTGCCTTGGCCTCCCAAAGTGCTGGGATTACAGGTGTAGCCACTCACCCGGCCTTTTTTTTTTTTTTTTTTTAAACAGAGTTTCTCTCTTGTCTCCCAGGTTGGAGTGCAGTGGCACTATCTCGGCTCTGCAACCTCCGCCTCCCGGGTTCAAGCAACTCTCCTACCTCAGCCTCCCTGGTAGCTGGGATTACAGGCACTTGCCACCATGCCCAGCTAATTTTTGTATTTTTTTTTTTTTTTTTGAGACGGAGTTTCGCTATTGTTACCCAGGCTGGAGTGCAATGGCGCGGTCTCGGCTCACTACAACCTCCGCCTCCTGGGTTCATGCAATTCTCCTGCCTCAGCCTTCTGAGTAGCTGGGATTACAGGCACGCGCCACCATGCCCAGCTAATTTTTTGTATTTTTAGTAGAGACGGGGGTTTCACCATGTTGACCAGGATGGTCTCGATCTCTTGACCTCGTGATCCACCCGCCTCGGCCTCCCAATTTTTGTATTTTCAATACACTCAGGGTTTCACCATCTGTTGGCCAGGCTGGTCTCGAATTCCTGACCTCAGGTGATCCACCGTGCCTAGCCACGTATTTCTTGAATGAATGTTATTATTAGGTAATTATCTGAAGACCAAGGAAAAGAGCCAGAGGTGCATTCCTCACTAAGGAGCTATGTTACTGGTGTGAAAAGCTCAGACTCAAGTCCAGCTCGCTGAGTTAGAATCCCAGTTTCCCCCATTACAGATAACCTTGGGCAAATCATTTAATCACTAAGCTTCAGTTTCCCAATGTGTAAGAGACACACGCCACACCCATTTACCTCATAGGGCTGTTGCAAAGATAATTAAAGAACAAAATGCACAAAAGGTGCTTAGCACAGTGCTGGGATATACGAAGTGTCCAAATTTAGTTACTACTATGGTTAGGGGGCACCTCAATGGATATGCTTCCAAAAAGGAACAATTTAATTAAACCAAGGACCGTCCAGAGTTGCTGGGGACCCAGTTCCTGCCTCTACGAAGCCTAGAGGGAAGCAAGGGAGACAAACATACCACTTGACTCTCTCGAGAGGGAGACGCACCAAGTACAAACGGAACGCCCGCAGAAGGCACTGGGAGGGAGGTTCGGGGCAGTGCTTCCCTGAGATGACACAGGGGAAGGCCTCTCAAGGGCGTATGGAAAGAGCGGGATCCCGACCACCTCTCCGCTTCTTCCTGAGGCAAGAGCCCTCGCCGCGGGCTTTTCCCGGGACAGTGCTTTGGGAGGGAGAGCCCCCTGGGCCCAGACCCGGCTACAGGGAAGGCCGCGAGGACGCGGGACTCACCCGCGGCGCTGAAGCCGAAGCCGGCAGGGACTGGCGAGTGTTCCGCGAGCTCCAATCGGATGACAACCAGTGACACACTCATAGGGCAGGCGCTGGCCGGCGCGGGCTCCGGCTGGCTCAGGAAAGGCTGGGAGGCGAGCCAAGAGGCCGAACGGCCCGGAGCTGGCAGCGCCGCCACCGCCTCAACGCGGTCGCCGCCGCCTCAGCAGCAGCAGCTCCTCGCACAGCTCACAGAGCCACAACAACTTCCACTTCCGCCTCCCGGCCGCCGTCGCTGACCCGTGGGTTACGCATGCGCGCACCACCGCGCACAACGATTGAGCTGTGCGGCACCGGGTCAGCCTGGTGTCCTTCCGGACGGGATCTCGAGGAGATCGGAGCAGGACGTCGTGGCGATTGCTATGGCTGGGGTCTCGCACTTAGGCTGAGCGGCAAGTTTTCGCCCAGCTCCGAGTTAACCTCTGCCTGCCCGAGAGGCCTCGTCCTCAACCCACCTCGTCTGACGGCGCGGGATCCCCGGTTCCGCGAGGTCTCCAAATTGTCCGCGCTGTCTGCTATGCAGAACTTTGCCCTTTTTGTTGTGTTTGACTCCTCCCTCTAACCCTAGTAAGGGTGGTTTTGTTTCTGTCCCACTATACAGATAGGTACAATGAGGCTCAGAGAGGTGAAGTGACTTCTAAGGGGCTATAGGGAGTGGAGACTCGATCGCCATTCAGACAGCGATCTAGTCGGGCGCGGTGGCTCACGCCTGTAATCCCAGCACTTTGGGAGGCTTAGGCGGGCGAATCACTTCAGGTCAGCAGTTGGAGACCAGCCTGGCCAACGTGGTAAAACCCAGTCTCTACTGAAAATACAAAAAATTTAGCCGGGTTTGGTGGTGGGCGTCTGTAATCCCAGCTACTGGGGAGACTGAGACAGGAGATTCGCCTGAACCCGGGAGGCGGAGGTTGCAGTGAGCCGAGATAGTGCACTCCGGCTTGGGCAACAAGAGCAAAACTCCATCTCAAATAAGAAAAATAAAAGATAGCGATTTGCTGGTTACGAGCACAGTGCTGGAGTTGTGGGTCCTCCTCCTCACCCTGTCAATTCACAAAGGTTTCCTGAGAGTCTGGACACCCTTGGGATGCGTTGGCGTATGAGATAAACATAGTTCCTTTCCATACTGTGAAGTCGACCTACATCAGCAGTTGTGCAGTCTTGAACTAGTCATTGCATAAAGTTGGCATGTTATAACTTCATGCAGTTGTGAGGATGAAACAAAATTATGTATATAGAGATAATACTAGCTTTCTGAGGCTGAGCATTCTCTCCAGTATGTCAGACTGACTTTTGTATGTAGATAATGACAGACACAATCAATGCATATATGACAGGATGCTACTCTAGGTACATCCTGTAATAATACATATGTAAGTACATAGTACATTCTAGGTATATGTATATGCAGACTGTATGTCTATAACATGACCATAAGATACATGTGTATATAGAGCTTGTGATTACATCCTATGAAATACGTTTCCACATGCCCTGTTTAGATCAGGGTTTCTCAACCTCTGTGCTATTGACATTTTGGGTCCTGATAATTCTTGTTTTTTGGCCAAGGGGCAGGGTGTCCTGAGCATTGTAGAGTGTTTAGAAACATCCCTGGCCTGACCCACTAAATGTCAGTAGCACCTCTCCCTAGGTGGTGACAACCAATAATGTCTCTGGGCCTTGCCAAATGTCTCTTTGAGGTCAAAAAACAACCCTGTTGAAGAATCACAGTGTTATGCGAAAGTGCATAAACCATACACACATACTATATGCATAAAACATATGAGACTCTTGTGAACTTTTTTGGTATATTACTCTTAGAAGATAAAATTTCAAAGTTTGCCAGGTACTAATTTGAGTGCTTTACATACCTTGTCTCACGCAGTGGTAACAACTTTATGAAATTGGTACTATATTTGTCTTTATTTTACAAAGGAGTAACCTGAGGCTCAGAGAAAGAGTAACTGGCTCAGGATTTCACACATAGTAAATGGCAGAGCTGGAATTTAAATCCAGACAATCTGAATTCAGAGCCAACATTATCTTTCTACCAAATAAACCATCTTCTTAATAATGTGTGACAATATACACTGTGTTTGCATATTTATGAGAGCATCATTTAGGTAGCAAATCTGCATTATCATGCTTATCCCATTTTGAGTATCTAGAAGAAGACAAATCTTTATGGTAGATGACAATAACAGAGAACTAGAGCTGTTAGCCAGAGTTGGGCAGGTTGGGAATGTAACAGCTCTTCGTGGCTGCCAAAGGTTAAATCTGTCCCCAGCTTTTCTCTGTTTTCTGATGTGTCCAGTTTATGTATCCTTTCAACTCATACAGAGCACCCACTAAGTGTCTAAAAACTATACTAAGTCCCAGGGGATATATGTATACCAAGATGAATAAGATACTCCTTGTCTTAAGGACCTTATAAACACATAGACATGAAAACAGTCATGGTGGCCCTCGCCTGTAATCCCAGCACTTTGGGAAACAGACGGGAGGATCACTTGAGGTCAGGAGTTCAAGACCAGCCTGGCCAACATGGTGAAATCCCAACTCTACTAAAAAAATGCAAAACTTAGCCTATCATGGTGGTGCGCGCCTGTAGTCCAGGCTACACGGAGGCTGAGGCAGGATAATTGCTTGAACCTGGGAGGCAGAGACTTCAGTGAGCCAAGATTGCCCGACTACACTCCAGCCTGGGCAACAGAGCAAGATTCCATCTCAAGAAAAAAAAAGTAGTTACTGGTCGGGTGCGGTGGCTCTCTCCTGTAATCTCAGCCTTTGGGAGGCTGAGGCGGGTGGATCACGAGGTCAAGAGATCGACACCATCTTGGCCAACATGATGAAACCCTGTCTCTACTAAAAATACAAAAATTAGCTGGGCGTGGTGGCGCACACCTGTAGTCTTGGCTTCTTGGGAGGCTGAGGCAGGAGAATCACTTGAACCTGGGAGGCAGAGGTTGCAGTGAGCCAAGATTGCGCCACTGCACTCCAGCGCGGGCAACAGAGTGAGACTCTGTCTGAAAAAAAAGTTACTGTGTAATTGGGTAAGTACTCTGCTGAAGATACAGCAAAGAGGCAATGGGAGTGAAAAAATAAATTTCATACTCTGCCTAGAAAAAGAAAAGCCTCCACAGAGGAGCTAAAACAGGCCGTGATGTCAAAGTGAATGGAAATTCACCTACCAAATAAAGCAGGGAAAGGTTCCAGTCAGTGAGCACAGCAGGTACCAAGGCCTAGAGGTATGAAAAATGACAGCATTTCCTGCCTTGGGAAGTGGCTAGAGCAGAAGTCTTTTTTTTTTTTTTTTTTTTTTTTTTGAGACAGAGTCTTGTTCTGTTGCCCAGGCTGGAGTCCAGTGGCACAATCTTGGCTCACTGCAGCCTCCGCCCCCCCGACACCCCCAGGGTTCAAGCAGTTCTCTTGCCTCAGCCTCCCAAGTAGCTGAGATTACAGGTGCCAACCACCAGACCCAGCTAATTTTTGTGTTTTTAGTAGAAATGGGGTTTCACCATGTTGGCCAGGCTGATCTCGAACTCCTGACCTCATGATCCACCTGCCTCAGCCTCCCAAAGTGTTGGGATTACAGGCGTGAGCCTCTGCCCCCCACCAGAACAGTTGTCTTTAATTGAAGGAATAAACAAGCTGCTTGTGGTAGCATTGCCCTCATGTCCATTAGCGGGACTGTGTGGAGGACAGTGTCCTCCATAGGATTAAAGTTGCTGCTTCAGGCCCCATTAAGCCCTCACACAGGATGTGTTGACACTTTTACAAGCCTGTAAGTGAATTTATTTTTCTATCGCAAACATTGACCTTGGCATAGAAACGTAAATAAAACTGAAAATGCAGATGAACCTTGACATTTTTAGTTTCAAATATTACCCCTCAATTCAGCAAATTTCCAATTACAGTCCTTGCATGGTGGTATCCTCAGGGGATTGGTTCCAGGACCCCCTGCAGATACCGAAATCTGCAGCTGCTCAAGTTCCTAATATACAATGGTATAGCATTTGCTTATAACCTATGCACACCCTCCTATATGCTTTACCCCATTTCCCATTTAGAAAAAAAAAGTACTTGGCTGAGCTTAGTGGCTCACACCTGTAATCCCAACAGCTTGGGAGACTGAGCGGATCACTTGAGGTCAGGAGTTTGAGACCAGCCTGGCCAACATGGTGAAACCCCATCTCTACTAAAAATACAAACAATTGGCTGGGTGTGGTGGCGGGCTCCTGTAGACTCAGCTACTCGGGAGGCTAAGGCAGGAGAATTGCTTGAACCCCAGAGGAGGAGGTTGTAGTGAGCCGAGAACCAGCCACTGTACTCCAGCCTGGGGGACAGAGCAAGACTCTGTCTCAAAAAAAAAAAAGAAAGAAAAAGAAGTGCAGCTCGCTGTCCGCACAGTATTTTCAGGGGAAAAATATGAGTTAAGTAATCTCTGGATTATTTATAACACCTAATACAGTGTAAGTGCTATGTAAATAGTTGTTAACCTGTATTTTTTGTTTGCATTTTTTATTGTTGTATTGTTACTGGTTTTTGTTTGTTTTTGAGACTGAGTCTTACTATCACCCAGGCTGGAACGTGGAGTGCAGTCATGCGATCTCAGCTCACTGCAACCTCCGCCTCCTGGGTTCAAGCGACCCTCATGCCTCAGCCTCTTGAGTAGCTGGGATTACAAACAAGCACCACCACGCCTGGCTTTTTTTTTTTTTTTTTTGTATTTTTAGTAGAGATGGGATTTCACAATGTTGACCAGGTTGTTCTAAAACTCCCAACCTCAGATGATTTGCCTGCCTTGGCCTCCCAAATTTCTGGGATTATAGGCATCAGACACCATCCCTGAACTGTTTTTTGTTTTGTTTTACTTTGAATATTCTCTATATATGAGAAACATATTAAAGATTTACCAGTTAAGAGTCGTTTTTTTTTTGAGACCGAGTCTTGCTCTGTTGCTCAAGCTGGAGTGCAGTGGCGCGATCTCGGCTTACTGCAACCCCCGCCTCCCAGATTCAAGCGATTCTCCTGCCTCAGCCTCCTGAGTAGCTGGGATTACAGGCATCTACCATGCCGGACTAATTTTTGTCTTTTTTTTTAGTAGAGACAGGGTTTTGCCATGTTGACCAGGTTGGTCTTGAACTCCTGACCTCAGGTGATCTGCCCACCTCAACCTCCCAGAGTGCTGAATGCCCAGCCAAGAGTCCTTTCTTTAGGTGTTTGTAGAGGTTGAGTAT